GAAATATGGTTTACGTAAATGAGGAAGAGTAAGACCCCCAACACACTGCCTTGAATAACACCACTCAAAATAGGCTTTCGGGGGGGCGGGAATAAACGAGCTGGACTTTGCTATTTGAGCGCTTTGTCTTCGGAATGAGCTTATCCACGATAACAGATGGTCACTAATTTCAAATGGTTCAGGCTTTAGAATTAACTGATTATGAAGTACTTCATCAAATCAAAAATTAGAGCGGTTATGAAAAGGCCTTTATTTCGTTTGGGGGTGACTTCTCCAAAGCAATCCGGTAAGCAGGTACCGCATGAACGACCTTTCAAGAAACCATGCAGCATAGGGGAAAGTAGATGATGCGGGACCATATAATCAGCAATTTCTTGCACAAACACCCTCTCTGTAATACCAGAGACTACAGATGTAATATTTGTGCAGCGATAGTTTTGAAGATTTGGCGTCGGCCAGAATAATAGGCAGTGAAGTAATTGCACCAGTTATATTTCGCTGTATGAGGGAAACATTACTCAGCGAATTGTGTGGTGGAATTGGCGTTTGCATGTCTAGTGCGCTTTCTTCACATGTGAAGCGGCTTTCAAAATGATTACCGAACAACTCACAGATTACACTTGGGTCATCGTAAAGAATGTCCCCATCAATGGTCAGACCACAAGGAATAACTTAAGGTAAGTTTGCAGGTGATTTTAGAATTCTTACCAATGACTGAATGTTGCCTGTTTGTGCTTTGCAGCTATTTTATCGCTGGATTGCTTTCAGTAGCCCATTTGATTTGAAGTTTTCATGAGCAATTTTTAATGCGACAAGGGACGAAAAGTCATTGGATAGATAGAAATTTCTGGCATGTCTGAGCATGCCAATAGGTACATTTTCTGGAATGAAATCCACTTCCGGACTCCTAATTACGACTGACACCACTGTAGCAACATGACTGTGAGTTACCGTCATGAAGCTGTAGAAGATATCACTTAGTTCATGGGTTAAGCCACTGGTGAGATGTGAACCTCAGTCCAAACATCGTAACATGTACTGCATTTCTTTCTGATTAGCATTTTTGCAACATCTAATTACGGTTGTCTTTGACCTGTGAGCTGACGTAATACTGGGAGACAGTCGGAAGTCACCAAACACCACTCTGTAATCGCTGCCCAGAAATCCGCAACCGACTTGAAGGGTAAAGGGCAATAATCCACCGGTGAAAAGGAGGTCAGTTTTATTATGGTATCTGTTTGCCTGCATTGCATGCTAGCCACAGCCCCTGCGGAATCTAACACATTAAGAAACTTATCAAACCGCCTTGAGGAAGTAAGCGGCTGCCATCTTATATCAGGAACATCAGTGTCTTCTCATATAAGTCACATGAAGTAGGGTAGTGTTGTTACATGAGCAAACACCTTGGCATGTCTTTCATCTTACTCCACAGTAGGGCGAGGGAGACGATAGGTACACTCTAGAAGCAGAATAATAGCATTCGGAAACTGCCACAACCCGCACTGAGCCACTGAGCAAGTGAAATTCTAGAGTACTGCAGCTTGTCACAGCAATGTCAGACCCGATATAAATGATGCAGCCACCACCTCTACTACTACATCCATCTCCTATAAACAAAGTACAATGTTCGACAGAGACACCATCGTCAGAAGTATCTGAAATACACCAAACTTCAGTGATTAGCGTTAGGCAGGGGTTGAACATAGTCGACAACATAGTGATCTCAATTATTTTTTTGCGCATAGAACAGGCGTTAGTCACACAGAAGGTCAAAGAATTGGATAACCAGTATCACCCAGGCCCGTTTTCGAAAGGCTTGTTCTTGTTGATCGGGTTGAACTGTAGTGGTGAGAAACGTGGGGTAGAACCTAATTTAGGAGGCATACCAGGGGAATAAGGCATTCCTGCGTTGCTACTTGTATTATCTTTCATTGTGTCAGGTGTTGACCTACCGTATGTGGGCCAGGGGGTGACTGGCTGGTGCAGCATCTTCCCTGCCGCTGCAGCGGTTGTGAGTCGTCTTTTGAGCAGTAAAAGGGGCCACTGATTTTTGCAACCTGAGACGATTCGGACTTTCGGAATGATCCCAGGGTATGGATGTCCGTTGAAACGAGCCTTGTAAACCCGCAGTTTCACTGCTGTTTCGGAAAAGGTAGGGTGTATTATGTTGAGAAGCCAGTGCTTCCCCTGAACAGCAGGCTCCCAGATATCATTGATCCGGGGCGAGGATATATAGGGGCTGAATGTTGTGCAGATGGTTGTGAGGGGAAGAACCTGATATTCCTCCTGTAGTCTTTGTTTTCCTGACTGTGAGAGGCATTTTTATAGTAAATATTCTTACGCATGTGCCCTATTCTCTCACAATCATACTTCACCAATCCTGCCTTCCTGTTGGTTAGTTAAGGCGCAGTGGCGCCTGATGCCTCACCGATGGGCGTCGCTAATGTGCCTTTATAGGAGGACGGGATTACACTTCAAATGGTGCCATAGCCACCGGGTTTGAGGATGAATAATTCGTTTCTGTGCCGCGGGCTTTGGCGGTAAACCCGGGCCAGGATTTCGAGGTTTAGATCTCCAAACCACTGCACTTTGAGACTGTCCATTGTCATTGCACCTGGTGGTCATCGTCGTCAGTGCGAAGCTTTAGGAGGGAAAGGCTTATCGGTATGACTGTATCTAGAGGATGCATGTTTCGTAGGTGCACCCAGTGAGATCAAGTGCATATCGGATGTATCATTACCGTTGCCGTCTAAATCGGCAGCGTCTACGAATAGATTTACATAAGTGGCAGATACTTCAACCTCAGTTTCAGTGTCTACTAACCTGTTGGTAGGTGAAGCGGTGGCAACTGATGTGCATGCAACAATACTCTCGGTCAGCGTTTGTTGGCCTACACTTACAATGTTGTCTGGTGCGATGGGTTGACTTCCAGGCACCACTATCCCCGAGTGGCCGCCGTTTCGGACAAGGTTCCCAACGGGACTTCATGAGGTCCTGATTCACGTGTGTGTCGTTGACAGGAAGTAAGATATGGAAGTACCGCAATATTCCCACAGAATTTAAACAGTCTCACGGACCTCTGTGGACCACAGAAGTGTAGCAAGTCACAGAATGAGTTAAACCGGAATAATATTGGATAAGGATATAGACTAGCCCTCTTCCTAAGATCCCGGGGTGTTAAACAAATTCTTGCAAACTACGGGCTTGGAGGAGACCATTTTTCGCACGTTTTAATGAGAAATTATCAGGCGCACTGAAGATGACTGAGCTGCGTGACGAAGTCAGTCCTTTGTTGGCTTCGGCGGCTACAGGGTCCACCAATGTTTTATGCTTGGTAAGACCGTCCACAGAAAAGACTGTTATAACATTCAGTGGGAGAATCAGAGTTTACAGTGCAGATAAGCAATCGCGTTACTTTTATCCAGAACACAACGCTTGTCTACAGCAAAATCACTACATACGTCAGTCATGACGTTTGAGAGATCGGCTTAAAGATTTGCTTATTTCTGGCAACGATAACGTTGCTCAAATAAAAGATACAAGATGCAGACATCAAACAACGATGAAAGCTTGCTGTCTGATATTGCAGCAAAATTAAAAATTGGCCACAAACAGATTAAAATTATCAGTTGTATTTCAAGCCAGGCTTCGGCAGTAAAATGGCACATGAAGCGGTGAAATGCCATAACTTCCTGTCAATATAGTTAAGCAGATTGTTCCGGAATTTACGTCAGGATGAAAAACACTGAGACATAAGAACAATAGTAACGAGGTAAATGAAAGCAGCAGTTGGCAGACGACTTATGCAAGCAGATGCTCCAATTTGCAAGCAAAAATTATAACGAGGTGACATCAAAGCTGCTAAAATCCAAAGGAAGGGGAAAAACGCATAGCACTAAAAGAGCGCTGCATCATTGATTGTCATCAATTCACATGACCACTCTCCATAAGTTCTTACACGGCTGCATGAGTTCAACTGGAGAGCTTTGACAAGCATTATATACTTGCTGGGTGCTCCCTTCACAGTCAAACACTGTCACAACACCTTGCGGTGGTGAACAGAATGGGATGCTGTCTGCAGGTCAGGAACAACAGCGAGTATCGGCTGCCAGTAAGTGTGGCTGTGTTCCAGCACATGTAGATTGGTGGAAATATGATCGATGCACTCTCCTTTGATCGGAAACCGTATCTCCATTATGCAGTGGAAACCGTCATACATGCCTTAAAGAACCTTAAGAAATAGCTTAGAAAGGGTTGCTGAACGTCAGTATTCACACCCGAACTAACACTTGCAAACGAATGCACTTTTGCAGGCTTTGACTAAATAGAAGAGTGGAAGCGTCCTACATGTGGATTACACAACGATTATGACTAGTGCCAGGCGGCTGAAGCTAGACATAGGTAACGCAGCGGTGATAGGTAGTCGTAAATAATCACTACAATTTGAACAAGAGAGAATGAAAAGCTAACTACGCTTCGTTCCATTACAGGGCTGAAAAGCCGCATATGAACACGTGTCAGTGGTACACAATCAACAACGGCCAGCAGTCAAAGTAGCCTATGGAATAGTCGTAGTAGACCCAGGCGATTCTCAAAGTCTGGCTTTTTCAGCAGGCCAGGGAACCCATCCCATATGATATGAACAGGTCTACAGGATGAAGATTTTGTCGAGGCTAGCAGGTCACGACTATTCTCAGAACAGAAAGCCTGACTAAAATATCTTAATACTTTTTCCCTTATGCAACTGGTTCCCAAATGAGGATCCAGACAGATTTCAGACCATTCTTTCCTGTCTTTCTCATTACTTGTGAAAAATAGCTGTTTGAGATTGGTCAAAGAATATTTGAATGTCTATCTTTCGTATAGCTTGTGACGTCACTTGATGGCAGCTTTACATTCATGAAAGTTCTGAAAATTCAATAAATATGCAGCATAAAATAGTTTTGCTTCAGTCATACATTTCGTTTAGTCGACTCAGAACAAGAAAAATACAAAATTGCCGCGGTATTAGAGATTTGGAGATCAGCTGCAATGCTGGTGGTTTGATCCACAGCTATACGTTTACTTTACACGTGATCTTAATTTAATTATCCAAAATCGATTCCTGCCAACACTAATAAAGCTGTCGTATGTTTGTTAGTGCACATGTTATGGATCTTGGTTGTCGAGATGCCTGTAGAAACTCGGGAGACACAGTTGAGCAAGAAAACCTGCATCACAAATACAGTAAAAGGCCCGAAACAAACAAACTGGTAGTCAGTCGCACTGTTTTTGGAAATCTCACGAATAGATTACGGGTAAATTTATCCTCAACTCATATGTGCATTACTTACAGGATGAGTCCGGGTACCAGGCAAGCTCGAAATTAAAATCTTCTGGTAAGTAGTAGTCTTTTAGAACGTAAGATATTGCTTTAATCATCGTCCTTGAATTTGGAGTCACGCTGTACGTTTTAGCGTGATGTATGCTTGAGCCCCTTATATGGCGTATAATGTGAAGAAGGTAGTCGGTGCAAAATGCAGTAACAGTTATGGTCGATTTGTACTGCTTCCCTAATGTCGTGACTTGAAGGCTTTTGCAGAACAGGTACCCAGTCAGTTGTGACGGAAACCTGGCTCTTTAGTGAACGCACTCGACTTTCAACCGATGGGTCGCAAATTGGGAAAAATCTTTACCCATTGCTCATTGAGTGGCCACACACTATCAGTAGATCTTATGGTTGATGTGGATCATTGCCTAGTGTACGAATGTAAATGTGGTTTCTGCGTGAATTTTGATCTGAGCTGACTTACTAACAAAATCAGCGTAGAACGTTGCACAGATGGGAAATAAATGATATCAAAGTAGTGTGAGAGAATAAACAGTCCGATGAAAGTACAAATATTTAAGCTTTAGATGTCAAGGAGTAAATACATCTGCGCCATTGTGGTCGATTTCTAGCCATGCCACTGAGTTCTCAACCACTGATTCCTTTCGTCTCACCAACTCCAAGCAGGCAGTCTGCATCTGCACACAGCTCAGGCCAATAGTACGAGATTTCATCGACTGGTGCGACGTCTTGGTCTGGCCATCCTATTTCAGCATGGGATGTCTAGGTAGGCAGTGACCTGGCATGCGCAGTACATGGCCAAGTCATCTCAGTCGACTAAGGTTCACGACGTCATCAACCCACTTACCTTTCGCGCCTGGTATCCTCAGCCTCATCTCAACATCGCTCACACAGTGATCCCACTACACTCGAGCAGTGCTACAAAAACACCTATGATCCAAACCCTGCACCCACTTTACGTCGTTTACTTTTAACCGTCATATCTCGTGACCGTGAAAAAAGTATAGAACGAACTGCATCGCAGTATACTTGTCCTTTGATAGACGGTTGGGTATTTCGCCGACGCCATACGTGACGGGAGTTGTCAAGTGCCAAACGAACCTGTATCCTAGCTGAGATTTCGTCGGCAACCAGCCCGTTCGGACTGATGCAACTCCCCAAGTAAGTTAAATGGTCGACATATTCCACCTCATAACTCCGTTTCACTGAGCTTGCAGACCAATCTTGGAGCATCATCTTACATTTAGCAGGTGCCAGCGAAACGCATACGAAACATACTCAGATTTCTGCCCAGCGTCTTCACATAACCTTGAATTTTGTCAGCATCTTCACCTAGTAAGGGAATATTGTTTGCACACTCCTAGTCAATCAGATGACCTTAAGGGAGTGGATCAATCTCTGTAAAGTCACACGTATTTGAAGTTATGACCATTAGTACTTTCATAACGAAGTTAAATAGGAACGGTGACAGTAGGCATCCTTGAGGGGCACCACTTGTTGTTTCTAATTCAGATTACAGCTCCATAACCCCATACACGGCTAGATGAGTTCGAGTAGAGATCCTTATTTCGTGTTATGCACTTGCTTGGTTCTCCCTTTACAGTCGGACACTGCTACCCCACCTCACGGTCACCTGAGTCATGCCTCATTCTGGTCAAGAACAGTGGCGAGTGTCGGCCGCTGGTAAGTGTGACTGTGTTCCAGGACCCGTCGAAGGGTGGAAATGTCGATGCTCCCCCGTACAGGCCGATAACCTGCCTAGTTTTCTCTAGTTTGATGTCCTGGAGCTTCAGTTTGGCGTCAGATAACTATGGACCCTAAGATCTTGGACACTAGTTAAACTAATGCCCTTATGGTTATCACAAAATTTCTCTCCCTTTTAGACTGGGATAGTCAGTGAAGTGCACCAGTCTGACGACACTACCACTGATTCCTATACCCCATTTAGTACCTCCTTCGCTTTAGGCAGCAATTTCCTACCGCCATCATTGTAAACGTCAGGCGGCAAACTGTCAGGTCCTGCTGCTTTGCTTCGTTTCGGTTTAAATGCAGCCTCCTCAACTTCAAGGAGACTTGGAGGACCGACATCTACGAGCCGTTAAGGTCCTGGCTGGATGTTGGACGACAGACGTTTCTGAGGGCCAGTTGAACTGTGCTTCACAGTTGTCTGCCCAACGTTCTAGCCACCTGTCCTCAGAGGTTATGAGCGTCCCATCCTTTTCGGTGTTGGTTTCACTCACCGTCGTCTCTTCATACCTGTCTCCCTAGTAAGCTTTAATTTCTGAGTGTTGCCCAATACTGATACATTCTCTCTCTCGCTTTCGTCACCCACCCCTGCTGGCGATCCACTCAAAGACTCTTCATCGACTTACGTTTAGGTTGCTTTCGCGCTTTCCCATGGTCAAAGCCAGTTAGTCTCCTTGCATCAATGAGTTCGCATGACGTTGCAGAAATCGAATGGCGTTTGATAACCTTTGGGTGTAGGTTACCAATTGTCTTTACCGCTGTTTTTTAGACAGACTTCATATGACGCCAGCTTTCCTTAGGATGAGCATTGCTGTCATGTTCAGATAAATCCTTAGTCGTCTGGGCCCTAAGTACAAACTCTGCGTTCTTATATACCAACCGAGCACAGAGGGACCCGGCTGCCCTCTGTTCTTTGCTACAAGTGGGCGCAAACATACACGAGCGAGTACTAGCGTGTGATCGTGTTCCAAGCTGGTGCTCCAGAAAAAACAGCAATCCACCAATCCTCTCCAAGGATGACTTCTTGCATTATGCTCCATTTGTATCCATCGTTGGTTTCGTTTGACGTCGGTGGACGCCATATGAGACGGTGTCTTTGCTCATGCTTGAAATTAGTACAGGCTAGAAACAAGTGATTGTCAGAGAAAAGTTGCAAGAGGCGATCACCGTTGCCACTGGATTACACAGATACCTCGGCTTCCCTGCCTGAGCATTAAAGCCACCTGCCATCTGAACATCTTGCTTTCTGTAGCAAAATTGACGACTTCTAAGAAGTCGTCATCCTTTGAACTTCCCGAACTGCAGTCAGTGGTTGCGTACGTGGAAGTTACAAGTAGGCATCATCTAGTCTCGCGATCCTCTCTAGTCCTTACAGATCCACTCAATTAAACTGCCGTTGACTGGTATTCAGTCGAGATGTGTGCTTTCTGCTCTACAACTCAATGCTGTGCCTACACCAGAGAGTGCACGAGAGCTAGCCAATGGGTTTGGGAATAGTGTTGGAGTGAAATTTGAAGATTCACAACACTGGTCAGGTAAAGTCAATTAAACCACCACACTCGGGTTTTGTATATGTCTGAGGCAGCACACATTCGTGGTCAGAGATTTTAGTTTTGGTAAGCTGTGCTTGCTATCCGACTGAGCATGGGGTTTAGACGTTGATAGCTCTTACATGTAATTGGTGGCAGAGTCTTGGGAGACCAGGAATGGTGATTTGATGGCTTTGATCACTGACAGTAGTTACAGAGAGAGATTAGTTAAGGCTTTAGAGGCTTAATATTAGTATTAGGAGGTGAAGGCCACGTAGGAGTTACTTGAAGAGGATAGGTTATGTTTGATTGGGTTCTGTGTACTACTGTAAGCTTGCGGGAGGTCGCGACTTCCTGGCTGCTCACACAATGGATAGCTATTTTTCTTAGGATTTGTGTGACCATAGAGCCCGAAGAGCATCTGCTTGAGGCTTTTCACATACAGCTTTCTGCGGAATGCTGTTTTGAGGTTTGATTGTTTTAACATCTGCCAGAGAGGACGCTCTGGAAGATCACAGGGCAAGGAGGAGTGTGGGACTTTTGGGGACTACCTTTTCTGAATTCCCTTCTCATACGGATTGCAGCATCAGCGTTGCACTGCTGGTCATGCAAAGGAAATACCTTACTGCTGTCACATCCCATCCATCTAATAGTAATACGACTTCGAGCTTAGATCCACATCATAATGTATTGTCTTGCACCACAACTGTAACTGCCTTTCGTCTTACCACTATCCGACAAACTTTTCTGGGATGGTAAGACCTCAAAGGAAGAGGCGTTCCAAGCGGTGTACTTCGCCAGGTCGTTGTGTTATACAAGCTCGACCACCACGTCAGGGTAGCAGCTATTGGTCGGGGTCTCTTGTGATGCGTGGTGCTGTTAAGGCAGAACTGCTTTGGAAAATCTTGTGGTCGGCTTAAGACGTTGCCGTATCCCATAAAGTTCCTGATTGTCAGTTTGAGTTGTGTAACGGAAATATCACCTGGTTGAAGTATATGGCACAAGGAGAATCGGCAGTTTGAAACTGCTATTGCTCAAAGTCTTTCGCATCTGAGTTCTCATCCGCTTCGTGCCGTTTTCCTTTCCTTTGGTTTTTCAGAGTCTTCATTTTCTCGCCTTCCTTCCGACATTGTAAACTGGTTTTCGGTCAGTTAGTGAATCGCAAAATAGCATGTGGCAATATTTTGTAGTGGTCATATTTACCCCGCCTCTATTAGCACATCAATACACAAAGCAACAAGATAAAAGAACAAAAAAAAGTCGACGGGAGTAAGTTAAAATAAGACAGAACAGCAGCCTAAATCTACTTCAGCTGAAATTTAGCAGCTGGGTAGACGCCTACTAGGCGTACTTAGCACATTTCCCAACCACTTGATGGAAGTTCGTCGTATAATCTACTGACCTTACCATTTTACTCCCTACTGTTTTGTGAGGCATCGACGCAGATCAGTCCGTAGCAACAATCCGCCATTAGTTTGTTAAAGACGCGTTCCAAACATTTTCAAATTGCCACTCATGATAACCAGGAGACTGCATATTGTCAGCGTCTTCGCCTGACAGGACTGTGTCATCTGCGTACTGCAAATTTACTAAAGATTTTCCCGTGATAAGATCAATCCCCGTAAGACAAGAGAAATACCTTCACAAGTGTGCGTCTATGATAAATTTGAATAAGATTAAAGTGAGTGGGTATCCCTGATGGATACCGCTCGACGTACACAACTTGTGTGGTAACAAACCAAATGCTCTAACACGCCCACTAGTGCTTGAGTAC